ACAGCGTTAATAAGATGTAACTAATTAAAAAAAAAAAAGGGGGAAGGGGGGAGGGGAAGAGAGATAGAAATCTGAGGAGTTAGGGATATGCCCAGGGGAAGAAATGCTTGCCACACAAGCATGAGAACACGAGTTTGATCCCAGACTAACATGTCAGGAATGGGAACATGTTTGTAATCTCAGCACTTCTGAGATTAGACATGGAGACAAGGTTTCCTGGAAGCTCATGAGCCAGCTAGCTTGTCACATGAAGTGGTGGACAAAAGGCCCGGTCTCAAAAAAAGTAGAGATGAGGACCAACATGAAGTTGCTCTCAAACTTGCATATACATGCCAAGACATACATGCATCAATACTCTGTCATATACATTATAATCTACACTGAGATTACATTTTAACCCAATCAAAGTAGACATCAAGGAAAAGAATCCTTACACACACCGTTAAAGGTGTTGAAAAGAGAACTTGCCTTATACACTACTGGTGTATGTTGTGGCTATAAACAGGTTTTTGTTTTGGTCCCAGATGTGGGAAATAGGACTGATTCAGATGGTCCACAGCAGCAATTTGCCTCATGTGGGCCCTGAGCAGAGCTCTTTGCCAGCTGCAGATAGTTTGAATCTGAGGACTCTGGAGAGAGAATAAATGCCAGAGCCCAGAGAGTAGAAATTGAAGAAAGAACAAGGCTGCTCCTGGTTGCTGTTTTTGGGACAAGATGGGGATCTGAAACGAGAATTGTCCAAGGAACCTGACAACCCTAACCAGCAGGAAGTAGCTAAGAAAGAACTGCGCCCTCTCCCACTAACCCCTTCTCTCTCCTACCTGGTGTTGGAAGGGATTGGGGTGGAGTAGGGAGAAAAAGATAAACGTAAAAGAGTTTTTAAAAGTACACTCAAAAATGTATAGGCTACAAACTTGTATAGCTACTAGTGAAGTAAGCATGGAGGTGTCTCAAAAAACTAAAGACAGAAGTCATACAGCTCAGGTTGACTCAAAATACCAGATAGGCTTGCACTTTCCATGTTTACTATTGCATGTGTCACAAGCCAGCTTAACGTCTCTTAACATAAATAAAGAGAGCAATACAGCAAATTCTCATTGGTAAAAATAGGAAATAGTTATCATAAGGGAAGGGAGACTTAGAAAGACAAGTGAGGAGGAAACCTGGAAGGGAGGGTCATTTAGGGCTAAGAAGGGAACCAGGCAGACAAGGGTGGTAGACACAAAAGAGGAAAGGTACTGACCAGAACACAATATAATGGCATGTATGAAAATGCCACAATGAAATGCATTGCTTTGAGTGCTAACTAAAAAATCATGAAGGAGGTATTTGTTCACATAAAGACCTGGGCATTATAGCTCAGTTGGTATGGTGCCTAAGACACATGGGCACCTGGGTTTAATCCCCAACACTAGATACAACCAGACATAATGCCTGCCCGAAATCCTAACACTTAGAGGAGGTGGAGGCAGGAGATATGCTCAAGGTACACCCGTCTAAATATTCAATCTGAGTACAGATTGACGTGCAGGAGACCCTGCTCCCAAAACAAAACAAACTAGAGCCAGTCATATTGGTGCATGGCAGTCCCAGCAGTTGGCAGACTGAGGCAAGATGGTGGGAAAATGACTGAAAGCAAGTACTGCTGCTCTACCATGATCACAGCTGGATCCAACCACCCACATAGGGCAGCTCACAAAGGCTGGAAACTCCAGCTCCAAGGAATCTGATGACTTCCGCTTCCATGGGCACCAGCACGTAATCTCAGAGACACATACACACACGTGTACAGCCAAACTTTTGGCTACTTTATTGGGTTCTTTTTCCCGCCTCCCTACATCACCCCTATCCCTTCCAAACCCCCAACACTACGTAGGAAAGAAGGTTAGAGAGGAAAGAGAGCCTTGATATCATTAGACTACTTCCTGCTGATTAGTGTTCCAAGTTCCTTGGAACAAATTTGATCTTCATTGTCAGCAATCCAGCAAAGAGTAGCAGGAGCAAACAGCAACAGCAGAGGGAGCAGCAGCAATCTCAGGCCCTCTCTGGACTCTAGCATTTATTATCTACTTGCAGAAACTATCTGCAGCTGGCAAAACCACGCCCTACCAAAGCACAAGGCAAATCAGTCAGCTGCTGTGGACAATCTGAAGCAGCCCCATGCCCCACACCTGGGATTAAAACAAAAACATATTCTTATATTTCAATGTTTTTACTGAAACCAAAAATTCTCATTACAGATGTATGCACACATAGAAACTGGAAAACAAAACAACCGGCAAGATGGTTTGCTGGGCAAAGTCACTTGGGTGTCAGCAACCCTGACAATCAGACCTGATGGCTCAAGGAGAGTATCTACTCATCAAACTTGTCCCCTGACCTACACACATGGCCACAGAACTGGCATATGCATATGTGCGCATAGACACATAGACAATAGCAAACCAAATTACGACAGACAAATATACACACCAAATAGTCTGATTAGCACCTTCAATCCCTGGATCCCACGTGGAAAACGACTCTCAAAAAAGGTCCTGACTTCAACATTTGTGCTATGGCATGAGCATGCACATCCTCATCAAAATAAACGTGAGAAAGAAAAAATAAACAAAGCCATGCAGCAGTGGCTCACTCCTTTAATCCCAGAATTTGGGAGGTAGAGGCAATCGAGTCTCTGAGTTCAAGGCCAGCCTGGTCTAAAGAGAGTATTAGGACATCAAGGACCACACACAAAAAAATCCTGTCTCAAAAAAAAGGGGGGGGGGGGGTTAAAAACCAGGCTTTAGGGGGCGAGTGTCTGTGTATGTGCCCCCAAGGCTGATATTGGTTGTCTTCCTTAATCCCATATTATACTTTTGGGAAGTCCATCACTAAACCCACATCGTGCACACATTGCTCCCAGGTTGTTGCAGGCCAAAAGGTACAAGGCTTTCATTGTGTCCTAACTTCTGTCCTCATGCTTGAAAATGCTTACCCACTGAGACCTTCCCTAGACCAAAAGCTTAGATTACTTGGGAAGGAACCTAAATCTTTTTTTTTTTTTTTTAAAGATTATTTATACAGTATTCTGTCCGCATGTACTCCTACAGGCCAGAAGGGGGCACCAGATCTCACTATAGATGGTTGTGAGCCACCATGTGGTTGCTGGGAATTGAACTCAGAACCTCTAGAAGAGCAGCAGGTGCTCTTAACCTCTGAGCCATCTCTCCAGCCCTGAACCTAAATCTTTAAAAGATGTCTTTTCACGATGCTATTATTTTACCTAACAACTACTTTTCCAGGTGTTTTTGGTCTTCCCCAAACTACCAATCCCCTAAAATGTTCTAAGTATACTTTACGGGTATCTTATTCTCAGTCTATATTCAAATATTCCTCATAGTCTGCTCTCGGGAAAGTCTTGCTATCTAGCCTAGACAGACCTTGACCTTCAGATCCTCCAACTTTACTCTCCTGCTAGGATTACAGGCATGGGCCACCTTATGTTTTTCACTCTGATCTTAATGATAAAATTCTCAGACTTTAGTGTCTCAGTAAGTGCTAAGCAAACAGATAACATATCCCCGACCTCCTACCCTTAGAAATGCAAGTGTTGCAACACCCAGAAGTTGGTTGTTTTTGTAATTCGGGGGATCAAAACAGGGCTGTGTGTGTGACAGACAAGCACTTAATGCCAAACTACATTCCACCTCAAAGCATTTAGAACTGATGAGTACAGCACTAGTGAAAAAGCCTGTTTATTTGTAACATCCCACCCCTGCCGGTCCTCCCACACCCAGCATTAGCAGCTTACCTGTGCAGGCAGTATTCTCTTTGCCTCAACAATGCATAGATCCACCCTGAGGAAAGCAAATGCCAAGGGCAACTTGTAACCCTCAGAAACTTTAAAATAGCATCAGCTGGAAGATCTACTATGTAAAACATTTTGCCACCAAATCAAACAATGTCAAGTTGTAACAAAAACAATCTCACAGCATTTATTGTTAGTGGTAAGGGGCACTAAAACAATACATATAAATGTCTCAGGGTGTTCTCAGCGCAAAGAATGTCTTTAAAAACTGGATTTCCAATCACAACTTCTCCCATGCTTGACCATTTCTAGTTGGATACACTTTGGAGCAGAGTAATATTATCTCCTTTTAGCATGATCCGACCTATAAAAACAAAAAAAAAAGATGTTACAAAAGTTGTTAATAACCACAGAGACATAGAGTCGTCTTTTTTTTAGCCTCAGAATTTGGTTTTGAGCAGTCTTTTGAGATACTTCTCTTTTATAAAGGTACATGAAAGTTTTCAAGTGTCCACATTTTGAAAGGTTTTCCACCAGGTCTACCGGCACATACACACCCTTCAGTAACAACAGAACTAAAACAAAACTGTTTCAATGAAATGTAATTCCTCCAATCTAAGTCAAGTGAAAAGGCTGATGGAGTATGCCCCATGAAAGTTGATGAAAGTTCAGAAATGAGGTGTCCCTCAGGTCTATATTTCAATCCCATCTTCAGAGCTGTTAACATGTTGAGAAACCACCTTGCTGAGTGAGAGTGCACACCTGCAATCCCAGCACTGGAAGGCTAAAGTAGGACTACAGCTTTAAGGACATCATGGGCTATAAAGTTAGAGCACCTCAAAAGCAAACAAAAACCCAGTATGATTTCTTAGAATCTACTTTTCCCCTAGATAGCTCTGGTTCAAAAGAATCATTAAGGTTTGGGAAAGAGATAGCTGAACTCCACCACTGATGAATCTGAGCACTACGTTTTTTTTGTTTTGTTTTTTTCAAAACAGGGTTTCTCTGTATGTAGCCTTGCTGTCCTGGACTTGATCTGGACAGGCTGGCCCTGAACTCAAGAGACCTGCCTGCCTCTGCCTCCCAAGTGCTGGGATTAAAGACTGAGTCACACTGCTTGCCCCCAGAGCATTGACTACTTCTAACAAAAATAAACTAGGTCTCTTTGTGTGTGGGTAGTTTGTTTTTTGACAGAGTTTCTCTGAGTAACAGAGCCCTGGATATCCTCATCTCAGGCTGGCTTTAAACTCAGAGATTGGCCTGTCTCTGTCTCCCGAGTGCTGGGAGTAAAGGCGTGCACCACCACTGCCAGGTAATAAACTCTCTTGATGAGACCATGAATCCTTAAGATCCCTTCTTGTTACCTGGGCTTTTTTGAGTTTCTCTGTCAAGTACTAAATCGCTACTGAGCTTACTGGAATTAGAGAGGACATGACCATGCACTTATGGAGCACCGAGTCTTACAAAGAGGCAGTGTGATACAGTAATGTTTCACTACAAACTCAACATATCATAGCCCTGTCCTTCTCCACCCTAAGAGAAACAAAATTACATTTTAGGCTTCTTGGAGAAAGCTCAATTTGAATTCTGAAAACACAGGAAATGATATCTGTAAAAGTATTTGGTGGAGTCAGTTGTGAAGATAGTGTGATGGCTCTGTAACACCATCACTCAGAAAATGAAGTCAGAGTTCAGGCCAGCCTGCGCTCAACTGGAAGAGATTCTACCTCAAACAGAAAATGGGACAGACGTGCAGGTTTAAGGAATGGAAAGTGCCAGGCAATGGTGGTGACCAACTTTAATTCCAGCAGAGGTGGAAGGATCTCTGAGGGTTCGAGGTCGGCCTGGTCTAGGGAGTGAGTTCCAGGACAGCCAGGGCTACACAGAGAAACCCTGTCTCTAAAACAAAACAAAACAAACAAACCCCCCAAAACAAACAAACAACTCTGAAATACAAGCATGGCAACTGCTCAGAAAATGGGAAAGTGTGACACAAGATGAGTAGAAGACAAGGCCAGATTAGAAGGTTCTTGCAGAAACATCAAAAATTGTCCTTTCATAGGAAAAACAGAAAAACAAGGAAGAATTTCAATCAACAGCTGGTAAGGTCAGATCCAGTGTTTCAAAAAGATGAGTCAAGTCTAGAGAGCAACTTAAAGGGGATGAGGGAGCTGCAGAGAGAATGGAAACTACTACTCAGTAAGGAAGTGAACCGCAAGTAGGAAGTGAATTTGGTTTTAATAGGCTGCCTTGGAAACACTCATGTGGAAACCAACAGGTTTAGAGCAGAGGTTTGGGCTAGACACATAAATATGGAAGTCAACGCATAGATTAGTAACTGTAACTGTGATTTTAATAGATGCCTAGGACAGTGGTTCTCAACCTTCTTACTGCTTTGACACTTTTCCTCATGTTGTGGTGACCCCAACCATAAAATTCTTCTCACTGCTACTGCATAACTGTAAGTTTGCTACTGTTATGAATCATAACGTAAATATCTGATTTCTCATGGTCTTGGGGAACTCCTGTGAAAGGGTCATTCAGCTCTCAAAGGAGTTGTGGCCCACAGGTAACTGCTGGTCTAGGGAAAAACATCAAAGGAGAACTGGAACCAGCCTCAAATATTTAATGGCTGGAGGGCAAAGGGTGACTACACAGAAGCCTGAAAACAACCAATCAAAGATGAATAAGAAAACCTCACACACTGTCACAGAAATGAGGGATCAAAGTGTTTTGACTAACTGTGTCAAATTCTGTATAATGTTAAACATAAGTGAACACCAGTTATGACCATAGGATCTCAGAGGTGGAGGCCAGAAGGAAGGTCAGGAGTTCATCTGTAGCAAGACGGAGACTAGTCTGGGCTACATGAGACCCTATTAGTAAACAAAACAAAAACAAAGGAGTGGGATATGAATAAGCGGCAAGAAGATGGCTTCAAGGCCCACTTCTTTCTTCAAAAGTAACTACATTTAAACATGAATTCAGCTGCAGGCCATTCAAGTCTGCCAGTGAAATAAACAGAAATCTGTAAAGCCAACTATATTCTTACCCAGTTGTTTTCTTGACTTTGTTTTACAATGAATCTCTTCTGCATCATCTAATACAAGGTTCATGTACTCATCAAAGCCCTGAAAAGCCAATTGACAAATCATTTTCAAACAAATCATATCAAACCATTCTCAAAGATTAGATTCAGAAATACAAACTAATTTTAGAAGTTTATCCCTTTTCTAATTTTGCACCTAAAACATCTACCTATTAACTTACTTGTGTTCCTTTAGAAGTTTTAAATTTTTACTATGTGCATGTATTTGTGGATAGATGTGTACAGCTGTTTACGGAGGGCAGAGGCCCTGGATCCATCTGCTACAAGTACAGGGAATTGTGATCCATCAAATGTATGCACTGGGAACTGAACTTGGTCCTCTGGAAGAACAGTAAAAGCTTTTATCTACTGAGCCCCCCTTTTAATTATTTAATTTTATGTGCACTGATGTGAAACTATCAGATCCCTTGGAACTGGAGTTACAGATAGTTGTGAGCTATAGCCATGTGGGTACTGGGAATTGAACCCAGGTCCTTTGAAAGAGCCATCTCTTCAGCTCATTTTTGAGACAGCATCTTATATAGCCTCTTTGCCTCAAACTTCCTCTGTAGCCAAGGATAGCCTTAAACTCCCAGTCCTTCTATCTCTCTCTATTCCAAGCGTTGAGACTAGAAGTGTGTGCCACCTTGCCTGGTCAAATGTATCATGCCCAATTCTTGGGGCATTTTCAATTTTCAGGAGGAGGGTAGGGATGGTGCTGAGGATTAACTCAGGGAACTTCCACACATTAGGCAACTGGCTTTCCACTGGGCTTCCTCCACAGACTACCTATTTTTACACAGCAAAGAAAGCTAGAATGAGACTCAAAGTACTTCAATCTTTTGGACTCAAACATTCACTACATATGTTAGCCAGACACTCTACCTCTCATAACCTGCCCAATCCTGCGTGTGCGTGCACGGATTACCTCCCGGCACTGAGCTTCCATGTTCCTCACAAACACGACTTTCCCTAACTACTGTGCTTGTTTTCTAACTGGTAAAGATTACTGATGGACACTCTTGATATATACATACAATAACAAAATATTTTTTCTTCAAAACAGTAAACAGCTTTGGGAAGTGGAGTGGGCACTAGGGAGACACGTCAATTGATAAAGTACTTGTAGCCATGATGAATTGAGTTTGGAACCCTAGCACTCAAAACAAGCAGGGCACAGTGGCACATTGCTGCACCTAGTGCTGGCCAGACACATGAGGATTTCTGGGGTTTACTGGCCAACTAGTCTTGTTAAATCCACAAACTCAAGGCTCAGTGACAGATCTTCTCTCAAAAAGTGGAGAACAGAGCTAGAGAGATGGCTCAGAGGTTAAGAGCACTAGCTACTCTTCCAGAGAAACTGTGTTCAATTCCCAGCAACCAACCACATGGTGACTCATAACCATCTATAATGAGATCTGGTGCCCTCTTCTGGGGTGCAGGCACAACACGATAAATGAATAAATGAATGAGTGAATGAAGGAAGGAAGGAAGACTGGAGAGCAAGATCCCCAATGTCTCCCTCTTGCACATGCACCCACTCACACATGAATGTATACATCGACATATCCCAGCCCCACCCCCAAAAGATTTACTGTGGCTGAACATGGATAGTAACTCTCAGAAGGCTGAGGTAGGATGGCAAGTTCAAGCCTTACTGAGCTACACGGCAATACCTTGCCTCAAAAATAACAAAACCAGGGCTGCAGATAGTTTAGTGGTTAAGAGTACTGGCTGCTCTTCCAGAGGACTCATGTTCAATTTCTAGCACTCACACAGCAGCTCACAACACCAGTTCCAGGTATGCTGCAAGACACTAATGCACATAAAAATGTACATGCTCCCCCCACCACCACAGGGTTTCTATGTAACAGCTCTGGCTGTCCTGGACTTGCTTTGTAAACCAGGCTGGCCTCAAACTCTGAGATCTGCTTGTTTCTGCCTCCCTGAGTGCTGGGTGGCATGTGCCAAAATGCCAGCTGTTAAGTCTCTCTTAAAGACTGACACTGACACACACACACCAAAAAAAAAAAAAAAAAAAAAAAAAACCCTCATACAAATAAATCTAAAACAAAAAATTATTGAGGCTGTAGCTCAGGTGTTTAGTATCCAAGAAACCCTGGATCTGATCCCTGGCACCACCAAAACAATGAAAGACTAAAATCGACAGAACAAAAACACTGCTTAAAGTATCCTGTTCCTGTATAAGTCTCATTTAAGCCTATCAGTTCTATTCAGGCATTATCTAATCCAAAATGAAAATCTTCTCTTAGACCCCATCCCCCTCTAATTTTGATTTGTTTTGTTTTTGTTCCCTTTCCACACAAACTAAGCTCTTCTTTAAAGTTTAAGTCCCTTCAAGAAAACAACTATGCATTCAAGGCCAGCCTGGTCTACAAAAGTGAGTTCAGGGCAACCAAGGATTCACAGAGAAACCCTGCCTTGAAAAAGAAAAAGAACTATCAAACCCTATCAGCCAAAGCAAGGAGAAGAGATTAAATAATGTGGGTCCTGAAGAGCTTTCCTTGGGTTGGGACCTTGACTTCTTGTATATTGCTCTGGCTGGCCATCTTCTGAGATGTCTTTTTCTACTAACAAACTGAGGAAATATAACCTCAGTACTCACAATAATACAGCCCTCTATCCGCATATTCACTTGCTCATACAGCCAAACCTGAATTCGAGATCTCTGAAATAAAAATAAAAACGTTTTTTAGAAATATACAAATTCCACCCCCATTAGTTTGATTCCACAATAAACAAATTATTCTCAAAATCTAATCATTGCTTCCAGCATGAACACACTTACCATTAGGATTGTTCACAGCATGGCACAAAGCAATAGTTTTTATTGACGAAACCCTTCTGAGCAAAATCCAGATCCCAAAGAGTGAAATCCACCGCCCTCCCTTCTAAATTTTCAAAGTCACACACCTAACCTTGATTCTGGGGATTAAAAATTACGATGGCTTAAAACTATTTTTTCACTTGTTTTAACATTCTAAAATAAACATCGTAAAAATATTTCCAAAGAAGGGCATTTGCCACTAGCTTCTCTGTATCTAACTTTTCCTTTTTGTGTCATCATTTTAAATATAACTTAAGGGAAAAGTAATATGCAGATGTCACTAAGTTTGCCGCCAAATCCTTCGAAATCGGTAGTTTTGTTTTTGCAGAATAATGGTAACTGGGTGCATATGTGAATCAGGCACAGGCGTGCACTATTTTATTAAATAGCGCTTTCCCCATAACCTGATTCTTAACTGTAGCCCCCCTCGATTTTTAACTCTAAAGCACAAGGATCAGAGAAGTTGAGCCCTGTTGGGATCAGTAGTAAGGAAACAAGTAACTTACGTACATTTTGCAAGTATCTGAAGATGAGGTTCTGCACCACGGCGATCAAGGAAAAGAAATATACCAACAGTAGAGGTCCTGCCCCCAGCCCTCATCTGACTCCCGCGCCCCAGGTCGCGCTACACACGCATGTACTCAGGATGCCCTGTAAACTCTGAAGGCACTCCCTCCCCATCGCCCTCGTTTCTCGAAACTTCCTGATGGTCCACATCCTCCTCTCCTATTCTGTCGGCCCCGCTCTCATTAAGTACCGCACGCCAGGCACGGTCCCTCCGACGCCTCCCGCGGCCCTTCAACTCCGCGCGCTTTCCGGCCTCCTCAGCCGCCCCGGGGCCTCACGGGAAGCGGCCCGCATCGGGCTGCCCTGATCCCCGCCCACGCTCACGGCTTCTATGGACCCAAAGCCCAGAGTTCACACTGGGTAGGATACGATGGGCTGCACCATCACCTTCTGCACCTTCTGGCCCTGGCCGCGATAAGCCATGGTGGAAGTCACAAAGACCACACGACTAAGAAGGCCGCCTGGGAAAGTAACTTCCGGAAGTAAGACCTGGAAACGGAAGTGCATGTGGTCGTCGGAGACGTGGGCCCCGCCTGGGAAATGCCTCTCTAGCCACGGAGCCGTTTTTTCTCTATGCTTATAGCCTCCGCAGAGTCAACCGCTCTTTGAAACCGAGGTCTGGCCTTCAGCTCCACCTGGAGGTGGCGCCTACGCTTTGGCCCCTTCGGATCCTTAGAGGCAACCAACAGTAGGCTTGCCTCTGCCTTGGTGCTATTCTTAGAGCTGTTCTGGAATTTAGGTCTGGTGGCCATGCTGCGGGCAGCATCTTTTCCAAAACAGTCTGCAGACCTCCCTTATTCGTTCTGGGCCCTAGACCGTCTGGACTGCCATATAGCTGTACTTTGCGCCAATAACAGATTCAACTCGTGTCATCTTTATGGAGAGTAGTTGAGGTGGCAACTGAAGATGGCAATCTATCTAGCTTGAAGGTGCTGAAATGGGCTTGCTGGGCTCGAGTCCGTCTCAGAGTTGTGTGATAAGTCATTAGGCCTCTCCCTCTCCGTTCCTTCTGCAAGTGCACAAGTGTTCCTTGAACTATATAGGATTTGCACACACCTGTAATCTCAGCTCATGAAAGGCTCAAGCAAGGTCGCCTGCTAATAGTGTGTTTCAGATCAATCTAAGCTATGAGAGCCCTTGTTTCAAAACAAAACAACCCACATGGGTTACAACCTGATAAACTTAAGGTAAGTTGAAAATGTAAATTTAAAAATGCATTTAATACAGATACTGAGGGCCCTAGGTAGATGACTTGGTAAGCAGGACATGCATTCAGTCACCAGCACAAAGTGGACATAGGCTGTCTATGCCCGTAATTCCAGCACTGGAAAGGCAGAGACAGGAGGCTTGCTTTTGGCCAAGTCTAGTTTAATTGGCAGGTCCTAGGTTCAAGAGAGACCATGGCTCAAAAGAGATGATTAAGCCTGGCATGGTGGCGCATGGCAATAGTCCCAGTACTCAGGGAGGCAGGGGCAGATGGGTCACTGTGAGTTCGAGGCTAGCCTGGTCTACAAAGCGAGTCCAGGACAGCCAAGGCTACATAAAGAAACCCCGTCTTACCCCCGACTCCAAAAAAAAGCTATGATGAAGAGTGATTTAGAAGGACACTTGATGACATCCGTTGGCCTCCGCATGCAGGATTGTGCATTCACACAGACATTCACACATAAAATTGGTGAAAAAATATATGCCTAGTCTATACAATACCATTGCTTAGCAACACAACGTATCAGCCTTTCACTCAAAGCTGCAGCTGCCCACCACCCCCATAAGTATCTCGAGTGGCTTACCAGGAAAAAGATCAAAATTTGAAATGAAAAGTATCTTTTTTTACAGAATTCATATTGCTTTCACACCATTTTCAGGGTGAGCAATTTTAAGTCAGGAGCTATGTGGATATGTATATGTGTTAAGGTTTGGTCCCTGTTAACACCTTCCCTGCCCTGGATAACACAACTAGCAAGAAAAGGGACTAATTCAGTGTTAGTAGGCAAGCCTACTCAGTTTTCTGTTATGACATGGCTTGTGGCTTGGTTCAAATTTTATTTAATTGGAATCTTCACTTTCTAATAAGGAAGCTCAGAACTGAAAGGATTTTAGATTGTGTCTAAGGGAACTGGCATCTTAGGAGATAAGGCTTAGGTCAAATAATAATCTAAATTTGCTTACCTAAGGTCTTCTTTGAATGGGAATAACTTGAATGCCAATCTTATTAAAGTATTATTATGCAAGCTACTTTTTTAAAAGACAGGGTCTCATTCTGTAGCCATGGCAGTCCTAGAACTTGCTAGGCTCACCTGAACTCACGAAGATCCACCTGCCTCTGCCTCAGAGTGCAGAAATGAAAGGCATTCCACAACACCTGGCTGAAACCTATGTTTAAGCTACAAAAAGGAACTTAAAATTTTTTACATAGAAAATTTATTTCTTTAAAGAGAATGTATCATACTTCAAGTATGAGAAAAGGCCCCATACAGAGAGATGGATTTACTGACTTCAAAGACATCATGGAGAGAACATAGGTATATCTCCTTTTGAAATGCTATTTGCTTTTGCATTTTCTGATTTTAAACTTTGGTGAGTTGGATCCTATAAACAATTCTTTACTTGATTACACAACTCATTAGAAATTTTACATTATTTCTTTTTTCCTTAAAAAAAAAAAAAAAAGATTTTTCAGGGCCAGGAAAATGGCTCAACAGGTAAAGGCACTTGCAATGCAAGCCTGGTGATCTAAGTTCAATCCTTGAATTCTTTGTAAAGTTGGATGAAGAGAACCAATTCCTGAAAGTTGTCCTCTGACCTCCACACCATGCATCCTGCATTAAAAACTGTATACTTGCTGCTGGGTGTGGTGGCACTCATCTTTAATACCAGTACTTGTGAAACAGACAGGCATATTTGTGGGTGGGTTGGGTGAGTCTGAGGCCAGCCTGGTCTACAAAACAAGTTCCAGGACAGCCAGGGTTACAGAGAAACCCTGTCTGTAAAAAAATAAAATAAAATAAAATAAAAATAATAATATATATATACACACACACACTTACATGCATGGGAACACACATCATAAGTACAATGTATTATATTGTATTCTAGGGTGGAGAACAGTGAACATTTTTAGGGGGTTTGTGTGGTTTGTATTTGTCCAGATGTCCCATGTTTACTTATGAACCGTTTTCACTACTGTAAATATTCTAGCTTTATATTTTATTTGGTGGTCCAGGCTGGCCTCAAACTTCGCAGAGATTCTCCTACCTCTGATGAAATTAAAGGTGTGTGACACCAACTGCCTGGCAAAATGTTATTATTTTCATTTTATGTGTATAGGTGTTTTTGCCTGTAGGTCTGTGTACCACATGTGTGCCTAGTACAGGTGGAAGCCAGGAAAGCGCACTACATTTCCTAGAGCGGGAGTTACTGATGGTTGTGAACCACCATGTGGGTGCTGGGACCAAACTCAGGTTCTCTGGAAAAGCCACCAGTGCTCTTGATTTCTGAGCCATCTCTTCAGTACCTAGATTATCAAAATTTTAAAATTCCATTTGGAATTTGCATTTAGAGTAAACCCAAGTATAACTTCAGTTTTAAATTATAATATTTAAATACATAATAGAGTACATAATATTTATTTCTTCAAAAGTTTTTGTTTCTGAAGCAGCCTGGATTTAGCTCACTGACAGTGTTTGACTAACAAAGCTTACATATATCCTTGATCCCTTTTCTTCCCCCATCTCCCAGATAAATTTAAGCATGTCATAATGTGATTATGGTACTATTATTGGAAATACAGGCAGGAAATCGATCTGTCAGTCAATAAAAAATAGCTAAATTATTCCACAGTTTATAATACAGTGCATCCGCAATCAAGATTAAAGGAGCTCTTTTTATATCTTGTGTCCTGACAGGAAATAGTAGCCAATGACATACTGATGGGGGAAAAGCAAGCAGTGGGTATGATTTATTTCATTCTCAAGCTAGGCTGTAGCAGAATTTAAGGAATTACACAAGTGTAACTAGGACCCCAAGAATAAGCACATCCTTAAACTGTGCCCGTTACCTGTTTATCTTACCCTGGCCCCAGCCCTGACAGCCAAATAGTTGGTGTAGGAAGAGATGAGACAAGATTTGCTGAGGGCCTGGAGAGATGGCTCAGCATTTAAGAGCACTGACCACTTTTGCAGAGGACCTAGGTCAGGGTCCTTGGACCCACACGGTGACAATAATAACTCCAATTCCCTCTATTACTCTGTTGCCACCAGGCACACATGTGTTGCATATATATACATGAAGGCAAACACTCATATAAAAATAAAAAGAATATAAAGTAGATTGGCTATGAATTTGTAATTGTTAAAGCTAGACAACTACCTGGATTTTATTTTAAAGCTTTCTTGTCATTCTTTAATGATAAGAAAGCTTTAAAATAAACTCCTTAAAACTTTAAAACATTCTTTAAAACTTCTTTAATAGTTGGGCATGGTGTTACATGTCTTTAATCCTAACACTGAGGAGACAGAGGCAGGTAGATCTGAGTCCAAGACGAGCCTGGTCTACAAAGTGAATCCAGAACAGCCAAGGCTACACAGAGAAACCTTGTCTCAAAAAAAAGAAGTTAATCAAATACAGAATGGCATTTAAGAAAAGATTTATATGTATGAGTGTGTTGCTTGCACATTTGTGTGTGTATCATATTTATGCCAGATGTCACAGAGGTCAGAAGGTGTTGGATCCCCTGGAACTGGAGTTATGGACAATTGTGAGCAGACATGTGGGTGCTGAGAACTGAACCTGGGTCTTCTGCAAGAAGAAGTGCTCTTAACCTCTGAGCCATCTCTCCAGCCCCCAGAATGTTATTTTATACATACTGTATTTGCTGATACATGAATGAACATGTCACAATTCAATTAATATAATCAGTAATAAAAACTTGGGCAAAACCTTGGCTTTTTTTTTTTTTACAATTAACCATAAAATTCTTGTAAATCTTGAGATTTTTAATGACACTCTAAATGTCTATAAAATATGCTTGAGGAGCACTAGCTCAAAGAGAGATACTCTGATTTAATTTTACTGACACAGTATCTCATGTATCTCCCATTCTCCAAATTACTTTGTAGCCAAGGCTAGCACTGAACTCTAATCCTCCTGCCTGTGCCTTCTAATTGTTGGGATTACAGTTGTACATTACAATAAACAGCTACTTCCCAAATATTTAAGACCTTTCTCCATTTGGATGAAGTTCTGTTTCACCTGGAATCTTGTTGAGCATCCGGAACTAATGAAAGCACAACAAAGACATTAAGATGAGACAGGACAGCCCAGCAAAGATCAGCAAGCCCTGAAATGAGTCAAGAACTTAATCAGGCAACAAACGTTTATGGGATTCCTTCTGTTATGGTACTCCTTCTGTTGAAGCTCTAACCTCATAGTACTTCAGAATGGGGCTATATTTGTAGACAAGGTGGTTCTCTTTTTTTTTGCTA